CCCGGTGCGCCCAGGAGGTTCCTGCTGGCCCCGGGGTCAGGGCCCGGCCCCCTGGAAGGCCGCCCTTCTGTCCTGCCCGTTACCCTCCTTCCTCTTGGAAAGGTCGCTTCCTGGGCGGTGATGCCCATCAGAGAATGTGGAGGACCACCGGGACCCCAACCACCTGCCGAACCCAATCCATGTTCCGTGGATTTCCTTCCCAGTCTTTTTTCCAAGAGTTGTTTTTTTTTCATGCAGTTTTAAAAATTGAGAGATGTATACTGTTTTGTAACCTTTGCCACTTAATTTGTTGTTAGCAGTTTCCCGCGGCCACACGTTTTCAAGAACATGATGTTATTTATTTTTTAAATAACGATTTATCACTACTTGGTAACTTTATCTGTTCTTTGTAACGACATCTGTGAATCAGCTTCAATCTTTTTTTTTTTTAAATTCTCACCGGAGGATAGTTATCCATTGATTTCTGGGGAGAGTGGAAGAGAGAGGGAAAGACAGAAACATCGATGTGAGAGAAACACATCGATTGGTTGCCTCCTGCACGCGCCCCGACCAGGGCCGGGGATGGAGCCTGCAACCGAGGTCCGTGCTATTGCCCGGAATCGAACCCGGGACCCTTCGGTCCGCAGGCCGACGCTATCCACTGAGCCAAAGCGGCCAGGGCTCGGAAACGTGACTTTAAGTATCTAACCTGTGGCTACCCCCGTTTTATTGATCATGTCCCTGCTTTCGCTCCTTCACTTCATTGTTCGCTATTAGAAACGCTCTTTCGCATGCGTTTGTCAGGCCCCTTACACATGCCAGGCTCGGAGGGCACAGACAGAATGCAGCCTGTGCCCGGCCCTGGGAGACGCCGCGGGGGCACAGGCGGGCGGCGGTTTCTCCGCTCAGCCGGGATCTGTTTCACCAAACGGGGACCTTGCGGGGCAGGCTGTCCAGCCCATCCAGGCCCAGCCCCGGCGTTCCTCAGCGCAGAGCCGCTGGGCTTGCTGGTCACTTCCCAGCGCTCACCACCTGGGGCCCTCCCCTCCCAGGCTGTGACAGGCCCGCCCTGCAGGGCCCCGGGGTGCCATGGAGCCCCACCCCGGGCGTGACCACCAGTGATTTCAGAGCCAAGCGGGGACAGGGTTTCAGGCTTTCAGCCTCACCTGCCAGGGGTCCCTCTCGGCTCAGCAGAAGCTCCTGTTGGTCAGAGGCTGTTTGAGGCCCTAGACCAGCCCGGTTTACCCTTGCCATTGCGTGGGCACGGGGTGTGGCGTGGAGGCTGTGGCCACCGTGCGGCGGGGACCGGGGACCTGGGCCCCATC